TGGGGCCTATCATACGGCTTCCTCTGACTTCCACCTCCCCTCTTGGACCCAGCTGGTCCCTTAGTAGCTCTGATCACACGGTTACCCCTTTCCAACCTCTCCACAATCTTCGCCTTCTCTAATAAGGCCGGAAACTCGGTGATGGCTATAGGCACCACCACCTTCTTCAACTCATACTTCAGACCCTCAGCAAACTTTTTGCACTTCCAGGCCTCAGAAATAGCCTGTGAATAAAAACAAGCCAAGTGCTCGAACCTCATCGCATACTCCGATACAGATAGCCCTCCCTGGTGTAACCGCATGAACTCCGCCTCCTTCGCGTGCCTCACGCTCTCCGGGAAATACTTTTCCATGAACACTATCCTAAAGCACTCCCAGTCAACTGTAACTCCTCTCGCCACAAGCATATGATAAGTGCCCCTCCACGAATGTTCGGCCTCTCCCACAAGCATATACACAGCATATGCCAACCTCTTCTCTAGAGAACATCCCAGTACGGCAAAAATCTTCTCCAACTCACATATCCAGCGGTCAGCTGCCTCTGGATCTGCATCTCTCGCAAACTGTGGAGGATGACACTTCTGGAACTCAGCTAGGTCCCGGCTCTCCTGTGACCCCGTGGGCCTTGCTGCACCAGCTGCAGCTCTTTCAGCTTCCATCCGAGCAAAATAAGCATTTTGCTGCTGCATAGCCATAGCCATCATCTCTATGGCACGGGCTATTTGTTCGTTGGTTCTAGTCATTGTCTACAAAAATAATAACATCTTCAGTATATTACCACTCAACCAATCAACAATTAACAACACAACAATTCATCACATCAATCAACACAGCAAACAACACAACAAGACAGCACAACACAGAGTTAACACAACAAAAGCCTAAAGGAACCACCCCCAAAGAGTGTCCACTAGACTCGAACTACTCTGATACCACTAAAGTGTAACGACCCGGCTGGTCACTACATTCCCAACCACAACACACCGGAAACACTAGACAGAATAGAACGAGTATATAAATATAGGATCTAGAATATAAATATATAAAAATGTCTCAATCTGGCTAGAGTTAGGGTGTACAATTCAAAAATACATCCAAAGCCACTGTATCAAGCGGCTGAAAACAAACAAAAACATCAAAAGGAGTCAGCTCCGCCTGCCAGCTACAGACTTACCACTAGCCACCACCTATCCCTGCTTTGCTCCCATACATAGTATGATCATCGCAGTCCAACAAGGATAAGCTAGCATAAAAAGGAACAACATATAGGAAGATTTAAGTAATATGAACATCTACAACTATCAATACATCATCAACATACATTCCATCGATTTTACAGCATAATCATCAATAAGCATATAATGCGTTATCACGCATATCAACTCGGAGATCTCCTACAACAACTCAGCCTTTCGGCCTACATCAACTCAGCCTTACGACCTACAACAACTCAGTCTTGCAGCCTACATCAACTCAGCCTTGCGGCCTACATCAACTCAGCCTTACGGCCTACAACAACTCAGTCTTGCGGCCTACATCAACTCAGCCTTGCGGCCTACATCAACTCATATCAACATACAACACAACACAACTTTACAGCTCAACATATCAACAAGCAGCGTTAATCACCAGTCATCACATTATAATCAACAACTTCTACTTAAACTCAACATAAACAACCTCTAACATCCATTCGTGAAATCACATCTCCGCGCCCGGCGCACTCGTGGTTGCGCCCAGCGTGATGCAACCAGAGAGCACCAGGGCTAACGCGCCCAGCGCAAACATGCCCGCGCCCGGCGGGACTCAGCCAGAGAGCCCAAGGAGTCTCACGCCCAACGCGACAAGGATCGCGCTCAGCGCCATACCAGAAGTAGAAAATCAAGTCACAACTGATATCGCGCCTGGCGCGGTTCGTGTCCCGCCCGGCGTGGGCCATCCAGAGGCTAACATCCTCAAGCCCGCCCGGCGCATACATCTTTACGCCCAGCGGCTTGCCTAAATGCTGCCCTCGGGTGGCCACGCGCCCGGCGCAAAGAACTACGCTAAGCGCGAACTCAGCAGCAGACCTCCCTATTTTTGAAAATCTCATCAGAACCTGCAAAACAACCAGGAAATTCCACATGCAATCCATTCCAGATATCACATTTCCATCAAACATCTCAAAAATACCACCTTTTTCAACATGCAACAACAAATCAAGAAATCCCCAAATTTTTCCTCAAATCCCCGAATAACCCCGAAAACACTTCCTTCGAATTTCAGCCAAGAATCAGTTATTCACAGTCATCCAATGTGTACTAAGACTCAATTTTCAAATCAAAATGCACAAAAGTCTAGCTTCCCTTACCTCGGTTCAACAGCTCCGAGCTCCGGGAAGAGGAGGACGAAAGAGAGAACGAAAATGGCTTGAACGAATGAGAAAGGAGAAGGAAGAAATCCGCACACCCCAGCTAGCAATCCAACTACTCAGCACCTAAGCTCACCCAAGAAGGAAGAATCATCAAATGAGTAGGAAGAGTTTGAGGAAGAATGAGTGAATGAGAGAATGGGAATGAAAATGAGTATGGGGGAAGAGGGGAAAAAATAAGAGCGGGTCTCACAACCTCCCCAACAACAAGAGTTTTCGTCCCCGAAAACAGACTTACTTGGGAAAAGGAAAGGATATCGCTCCCTGTACTGCTGCTCCACTTCCCAAGTAGCCTCACCGGTAGCTGCATCCCACAGTACCTTCACCAGAACAATGGACTTGCCCCTCAACTCCTTCAACTTATGATCCACTACAGCTATCGGCAACTTCTCAAACGTCAGATTTTCCTTCACCTGCACGTCATCCAGCTCCACCACATGACTTGGGTCATGAACGTACTTCCTCAGCTGGGAGACATGAAACACATCGTGTAGGTTTGAAAGAGACGGTGGCAAGGTCAATCGATAAGCAACCGGACCCACACGCTGTATGATCTGATAGGGACCCACGAACCTCGGTGTCAACTTCCTTGCTTTCAATGCTTTACCCACACCAGAAGTCGGAGTCACCTTCAGAAACACATGCTCCCCTTCGGCAAACTCCAAAGGCTTCCGCCTCTTGTCAGCATACGACTTCTACCTACTCTGAGCAGTCTTCATCCTTTCTTGAATCATCTTCACTTTTTCAGTGGTCTGTAGGATTAGCTCCGGACCTTCCACCACTGACTCACCATCCTGATACCAGCACAAAGGAGTCCTACATCTTCTGCCATACAACACTTCAAATGGTGCCATCCCAATGCTTGCATGAAAACTGTTGTTGTGGGTGAACTCATGTAAATATAAAAGATAAACTTATTATTATCAACTAATTTAACTATTTTTTATCATTTTAGTGAATTAAACATTTAAGTCTTATACATAAAATAAAAAAATACACAACAACTTATATAACATTAATTTTATTCTTATCTCTTTTCATCATTAATAATATCTCTCTTCATAATCAATAAAATGATGAAAGAAAAACATAAAAATGATGTTATACAAATTACAATTTTTGTTGTACTTATACTTTATTCTAATTAATATTGTCATGAGTTTTGTAAATAATAAATAAATAAATAATTTTACTAAAAAACAGACATTTAAATTTAAAAAGTAACTAAAGGAGTGTACGCTAAGGAATAATTACTCATGGATGTGCTATAAGTACATTGGTATGCATTTATTTCAAGGTAAGTCACTCTAGTTCTACAAAAATCTAGAAATGGTTCTTCAACTATCTATCGAGCGAGCAGAATTAACATTTTGGTCAACCGAAAGTTCTTGAAGTTGGACTCCACTGCCTCCTACCCTTTTTGTTGCCTTATTTGCCTGAACAATGAACACACTTCTGTTAATATCCATACCTGATAAAAATGATAACAAAACTGAGTTCAAGATTGAACAATTTACTTCTTCCTCCCAATTGGCACGTAGGGTGATCACAAGAAAACACAACATTTGAACGATAATTGCCAGTACTATCCCTAAAAATAGCCCCTGAAATTATGAAGAATCAAGATAATCACCAACTTCAGTTGAACATGCATGTTATCTATGATGCAGGATGTTATTATTCTTGGCTAAAAATCAAACTCTGAAGGATTTTAATGTGAACAACACTTAGACAGGTATTTTAAGTGTTGTTTACTATGTTGTTCTATTAGAATTAAAGTTTTCATAATTTGCATAAACTGAATAATTAGCAATGAAAAACTCTAATCCTGATAGGAGAAGTCTCGTTAATATTCACCCTAAGATGTTTTCTGAATGATAAAATGGTTATATTACCCGTCCTTTCATGTGGAGGACAAAACCTGTCACAACAGAAAAAGGAACGCCTATAAAATAAAAAGATCCTAGATTGACAATTGCACCAAGTTTCTGCCAACCGCATCCTCTGGCAATACCTGTTCACAATCAAGGAATTAGCAAAGTTCATATAAACAGATAAACAATTAGGTTCCTCAAAAAATGAATTGAAGGCATTACATTCCATATGCATTCTATGGTGTTTTATTTTGGTTGTGACAAGGTATCACTGGTATAATAAAGTTACAGACTACTTCAACTAGTGGTACTTGACTGGTTGATGTGAAAAGTTTTCGTATATGTTGGGGTTTGAATATGGAATTTTTTTATTAAATAAATCATTCACATAACAGTGTATAATGTTTAATTACTATGCAAACCCATTATTTTATAGTGTTTAGTTCAACAAATAAATTCTTTATATTACGTTTCAATTCGATGTAAACCATAAAAATCAAATAAAAAATATGAATAAAAATAAATATCAGAAAAAATCTTATCAAAATTTCTCTAGATCGGATTGAATTAGCAAAATGATAGTAAAACAAGAAAATGATGGAATTGGATGAGAATACTATGTTTTCCTTGAAATCCATTTAATCCAATTCCTGAATACTCAATCAACAGGGGAAAGGGGAAAAAATGGATAATTATGGACCTCATTGAATGATTTTTTTCAATACCTTGAAATACTGTTTGAATTGAATCTATGAAGGCAAAGCTTGCAAGAATTGGCACCATGGAAGTCACATATAGGACCACTTCATGTACATTGGTAAAAGCATGCCCCCAAACTTTCCATGCTGACATAAGGACTGCAAATTCTAAAATCCCCACTGTGAAGGCCAAGAACATGCTGACTTTAACTGCTAAATATGCAGTTGTTGGTTTACCAGCCCCTAATTCATTTGAGATTCTTGTACTGTTTAAGCATAAACATGCAATGAAACTTGTTATATATGGACAATGATAAACATAAAAAGACATGTCACTGCAACATTACATATGGTAATAGCATGCACATTTTTATTTTAGTATGTTCAGTATAAAAGACTAACCTTCCAGCAGCACTAACTCCAAACGGTACCATCCAAAGTATACCAGATGTGTTGAGGCTGGGATGAAAGAGGAAAAAAGTACAATTGGTCATTAACAACGACAAGGGAAGAAAATGGAGTTTTCAAACGAGAAAGATAAATATAATAGCATATGATATATGTAATATCCATAACATATAGTAGCATAGCCCCCAAGATATTAACTGAAAAACTAACCATATAGAAAGTACTGAAGTTTCCAATTTTGCATTAGGAAAAGCACCAGACAGAAGCACCATTATTTCAAACGTCCATGATTCTAAGCTGCAACATAGTGATACAATAGGAGCAGCAATTAGAACTTCTCAGCATCACTCATTCACATTACCAGTCACAAGGAAAAGAAATAAATTTTTGCAAGTAATCTCTAATAGTGCATTTTAAGTTCCAAAAATATGCCCTACATTACATTAATTAGTCCTTTATTTATCAGTCTCATCAAATTGATCCCAAGATAATTGAATTCATTGGTTTTTATGCTTCAATAACCAAATTGATGACAAAAACATGGGATTAAAGGACTATATGTTGATTCTAAAAATGCAAGTTGTTATATACTATGGAAGTGAAATTTGATTTAGAAATGAATATCATACCACACCATGAGTGTTGAAGGAAAAGCAAGTCTAAGAAATTGTGGGATGTTATGCAGTGACTCCGTAGAGAAACCGGTCCAAGTGTTTTTGCATGAAGGAGAGAGCCAAATATAAAGTGCAAGTATTATAGTATTAAACCAGTTTGAAATGCAAATTGCAATGGCAGCGCCTTTCAAACCAAGCCCAAGTTTCAGAACAAAAGCCCAACAGAGAAGGATGTGTAGTAAGGTAGTGAGTCCAGAGGCTACCACCATAGGAAAGACTATGTTTTGGGTTTGTAGGAACTTGGTGATGCAGCGAAGAAGCCCATTGGCTGAAAGGCTTGGGATCAAGTATCTTGCAAAAAGTTGGGCTTGAGCTGCAATTGTTTTGTCTTGGTGAAAAACAACTAGAATGCGCCCTAAGAAGACCCAAATAACAGAGATGGGTATGGTAACAAGGATGAGAACCAACATGGCTCCTTGGGTGTGTACACCAAGCATGTGAAAATGCTTTGCTCCATATGCTTGACCACAAAATGTGTCTAGTGCACTTGACATACCCATCTGAATGAAGTCAACCATGAACATGAGAAAGAAAGATTAACATTATATATAAGAAGAAAAAAATGCATAATAATAATCATAATAATATATTATCCCCACAATTGTCACAATGAAAGTGGAAGATGATTATTGTAGCGACGAGGATAACCACTATTACAACCATTATTATCACAATAAATCGCTATTATGTCATCGATTTCATTGTCATTCTTATCACAATTATATTTATTGTTCTCATCCAACCTTAAGATTACATGATGTATTTTGTTGAGAATTTGATCTAAGTGAATCGAGATTTTTTCTTTAATGGTTAGCGAGATATTCGAATTTCGGTATAAAAGTGTTTTGAAATTGAATTAAGAATAGTTTAGCTCTCTTTTAACTAAATAGGTTTTCCTTTGAAAATCAAAACCAAAATCTCGCAATATCCTTAAAGGACCCTCGGAAGTAATTTGATTTTCAACCCTAAACAAATGAACACCACACACAACACAAATTCCTAACATGATAGGTATATTTTAAGGTGAAATTCTTAAAGTCAACAAAGTTAATGTATATGACAATACAATAATCCTTTGCACTGTCTATATATACACTGTTTACTTAAAATCTAAAGAAATAATTTGGCTTTCAATCCAAAACAAAATATGGATTCCGTCATGAACATCACACACAACACAGATACAAATAAAAGTTAGACACTTAGTAGTGTATATAATACATATCTTATGAATAATGTGTGGAAGGTGGTAAAATAGAAGATAGAAGGAAATGGTGTAAACATACCAAAATATTGTAACCAGTAGCATTGACAAATGAAGTTCCCAAAGCAGCAGCAGCAAGAAGCAACTCATTCAAATGACCCACAAACATGAGAGATATCATTTGTAAACTATACTGAAAGACACTCACAAATATCATAGGCCCAGCCAACCATAGTTGCTTCATTAACTCTTTTTCTATTTCCTTGTTCCATAAGGCCATTCTCTTGCTCAACTCTCAGAGATGACAGCTACAATCCTCTCAAACCATTCCTGTTAGTATTGCGTAAGAAAATAAAGAATATGTTTTCATTAGAATTGTAATATAGAAATAATATATGTTCTATAAAAAAAATTTACACTGCCATCTAATTAAAAATTACGATGTACAACTACTTAAAGTCATTAATACTATAACTATCGTTGACATTTTTAATTCGTAAATTAATAACATTAAATACTATATATATATTTTTATAAATTTGTTCAACTTTAATGAATAAAAATAATCATTAAATTTGTCTTTAAAAGTTTAATTTATTACGAGAATAAGTTATAACATTAAATAGTATACATTTTTCTGATTGCGATGGAATCAAAATTGTCATGTATGATAAATTTACCGATTTTTAATGAGAATTATTAAATAGTTATATATACATAATTTGTGATTGATTGATTATTTAATGTTATTAAACTTTTAATTTTATTAGATAAATAGTAAATATACTAATGGCGTAAAAAAATTACTCTAAACATTTAATAAAAATAGTAATATATAATAAATTTATACATTTATAATAATTATTTTAAAAGTCATAATAAAGATGAATGATGATTAATTAGCAGTGTAAAAATTAATTTATAATAATTATTTCAAAAATTATAACAATAATTGTTTATTAATTAACAATGCAATTTTATTTTATATATTAAAAATGTATATTAAACTCATTTTTAATTTAAACCTTCAAATAAATGCAAAACACACTTCTTCTTATTTGGTATAATTGCAAAACAGGTAATTTTTTTCCTTCTTTTTGTGGTAATACAAGTTAAAAAGAAAGAAGAAAAAGAAGATTGAATCCTCAAAAAGGATAATAGCCTCAGGTTTTGGTAATTCGTTAATAATTTGGAATATTGAATGATAATACCAAAATCTTGTATTTTTTTTTAAATATCTCTCTCTTAGATTAGTCTTCTTAATTTTTTTTTTTAATTTTAGTATTCATAATTTTTAATATTTTTAAAAAAGGAATTTATTACTATTTAATAATGACATAATATATTAATAAATGACAATAAAATTTTTTTAAAAAAATTATAAAACAAAAACCAATAAAAAATAGAAGAATAAAATTAAATATCAACATGTTTTGCCTAAAAAGTAAGTTTTGGGACCTCAATTCAGGCACTGCTTCCCTTGCTCTTTTCCCACTTGAGTGTAGGCTTGCTTAATCACCAACATAAAATGGACCCAATAAATTAGTCCAAGTAAGTTAGACTTTGACTTTAATGGGAAATTGGTGCCCTAATTTGTCCAACATGGACAACGTGGAAGACATGCAATCGGGCATGATCACCTTGAGAAGGGCAACAATCACAATCACATATATATAAAGACAAGAGAAGAAAAAAGGACCATTCACTTATTATTAGCACTCAAACAAATAGCTTAATTAAGCTTGGTCCTTTAGCTAGGATCGGTGTATGGGACCATTCACTTATTATTAGCTCTCAAACAAATAGCTTAAGCTTGGTCTGTAGCTAGGATCAGTGTGTGAGGAACCTTGTGAGCTCATTATACCAACCTCTTGAACAAAATAAAAAAGTGAAAATAAAATTATACGGTAAATATTGGGATGCAAACCAAGTTGTGCATCATTAAAACGATAAAATAAACATAAATTACATACATATTATTTTTTTTAACGTTAATTTATTTTGTTAAATTATATTAAATTAGATCTTTCAATACTTAATATCTCTTTTATACTCTTACTTACTATGTTTATTGTCGAGACATTTTGTTTTACTTTTACAAAATTAAAGACTTTTATCACCAAAATAAATAATATTATAAAAAAATTAATAACAGAAATTAAAAAAAATTGAAAGTATAAAAATTAAAAATATTTATCTTAAACTTTATAGACTAAAAAAGATTGAAAAAGTTAAGTATAGGAACTAAAAATATTTATTTTAAATGATAAAAAATTAAAAGATAAAGTAAATAAAAGTATTATAGTTAAAAAGCATTTTAATAAAAAATATATATATATATACCTCAAACAAATTTTTAAAAAAAACTTATCATTAAAAATATCTATATCTATAAATATTACTTGCAAAAATAATCTCTCTCGGGAGAGAAAGAAAGATTTCGACTGTACAGTGTATAAATAAAACTGTTATGTTATTTACAATATTGTTTTTACTTTATAGAAATTTCAAATTAATAAATAAATTTATTTTATTTGATTTTGATATAATATAATATTGAATTATTTTATACAATGTTAATTCATTATTATAATTTTTAACTTCATAAATTATTATCCATTATCCACTAGTATAAATAGTAAATAGATTAAAAAAAATATATTCAGATGTACCATCCCTAATTTTAGGTTTGTCTATTTGAAAAATTCTTATTTTAAACTATGTAATAGTAAAGAAGGGGGGAAAATAGAGTTGAAGAAAAAACTAAGTGGCACTTACAAATAGAAAAGTAAGATTTTTCTCAACGATAAAATAAAATATAAAAGTAAGAATGGAAAAAAAAAATAGAGTTGGAAGAGTAGCTACAAATAATGCATTTAATGTACAATAAAAGATGTTAGTATTGTGTGTTTTTAATAAAATAAAAAAAATTGAAAAGAAGAAATGACAGTGAAAATCGGAAGTTATACATAAAGTTGCGTATGTGACGAAATTAGTCTAACAAAAAAAAATGTAAAAACACTCTGTATTTTATATTTAATTTATTATTATAAATAAAATGTTATATAGATGTAACAAATTCACGACGACAAGTTCATATAGTATATAATAAACAAAAGTTCTCTCTAGATCAAGGATGATGTAATATTTACTCCTTTGATAGTTAACTAGACATGTGCTCGCGTTATGCGATTTATTGAACCTTCATATTTTTTTATATAATATTTTAATATATGTAAATTGTGGAATATTCTTTTTTTATAAAATTCACAGGGAAATTAAAAATGTTTGGAGATGGAAATGAAGGAATATCTACTATACTTAGATTGAATTAGATACTATTTGAAGAGTTTTATAGGTTCATTAATCAAGGTTTTTAAAGTTTCCAAAAATTGAAGATTCAGATAAAAAATTGAATTTCAATTATTTGTAAAAAAAATATCAATTATTAAAACTCACAATAAATAAAAAAGATATTGTATATGAATTATCTACATATTCAGCTAAATTATATATATTCGCGGGATTAATTTGGAAAAGTAGTAGGGACATATAAGAATTAATAAACTATTTTTGTTGGAAACATTCCTCTAATTAATTCTCTGGAAACTTTTATAGCAAATGGAATATACAGAATTGTAATCAATCATATATTGCAAAGCCGTCACCGAAATGGAATATTGATTGTTGTGGACTAACCATTTTAAGTCGTTAAGTTTTCTTTTTTGGGCTAGTATAATTGCATATAATCATAATTAAGAGACATAATTTGATTAAAATATTAATTATAAAAAATAATAAATAATATTCAATTATTATTTATTAAAATTAATAACATAGTAGGTGAGAATACTAATGATATATGTCTGTCTTTTTTAACGTGTGAGTATATTTATTTATTAAACCTTACTAACATTATTTCATAATTTCATAGAAAAATTAATTTAGATATATATGCTTAGCAGACCTTTCAGATAAGGCAAAAAATGAAGAATGACAATATTTTTATAATTATATTACATACAAAGAAGTTTTGGCACGTCCTTCTAAGTTAGATTCTTTTTTCTGAGAAAGTAAAGAAAGTAATGTGCCTAGTTGTATTGAGGTTAGGACTCACTTGTGTTTAAAAACAGAGCTCATTGAAGGGAGACATTAAGATTTGTAGTTATTATTACTTTTATATTATAAATTAGGATTTGTAGTTATTATATAGTTATATCATCAAAATAAGAAGGGTAATTCAAAATGACATGTAAGCAATTTTTTTGACATGACAACATTTTAGAGATATTTTAAGCTGATATGTTATCGTAATACAAAGTAGTTTGGATTTTATATTATAAATAAATAGAGAGAAGTTCTAGCACATCCTTCTAAGTTAGATTCTTTTTCTGAGAAAGTAAAGAAAGTAATATGCTCGGTTGGATCGAGGTTAGGACCGACTTGTATCTGAAAACAGAGCTCATTGAAGGGAGACATTAGAATTTGTAGTTATTATATAGTTATATCATCAAAATAAGAGGAGTAATTCAGAATGACACAAGCAATTTTATTGACATGACAACATTTTAGAGATATTTTAAGTTGACTTGTCAACGTAATACAAAATAATTTAGCTTTTATATTATAAATAGATAGTTACTTATAAAATAGTTTAAATTCAGAAAAGTAATTATACATGTTAAAGTGCCACAATTTTAATAAGAGTATATGAGTATCTTTAAATATAAGTTAGAAGTGTTTTTAAGAACATTTCTGCCAAATTTTTTTTTAAAATTTTGAAAAGAAACTTTGAAAAATCCTTTTAAATTCGTATCTAAACAGATTTTATATTTATGGTATAGAGAAAATTTTGTTAGGAAATCACATGCTAATAATAGTAGTGCCTTTACTTTTTAGGCATAATTAGATACACATTAATGCTGCAATGCTTTTTATTTTTAGGCACTAGATGAGTTGGAATCCATTCATTTTCCTCATATACTTGCTTATGAAAAGTTCATGCATAATGCTCTTAGAAGTTGTGATGAGAAGTTAATTTTAGTGCAACTTTTGGTAGCAGGGATCACAGTTTTGAGTGATTTTATTTGATACTTGATAATGCTGTTTGAAGCGAATCAATAAAAACAGAGCTTGCAAGAATTGGTGTCATGGAGGCCACATAACTTACTGTAGTTCAGTTACATTGTTAAAAATGTTGTTTCATTGTTTTATTTCGAATCTGAAACCTCCTTTTTTGTGTGTTCATTTGCATTACCAGAACTTTTGTTTGGTTTGTCTGAAACCCCCTGTTTTTGTGTGTTCATTTTCACTGGCTATAAATACATTTATCCTGTGATTTCACTTCAT